CACAGAGAAATTACTATATATCAAGTAAGTACAGCGTTTGGAGATGGAAAGTGTAGGAAATGTGGACAGTGGGAGGTAGCACAAAGGGGGCAATTAAAGAGGAGAAATCAAAGGGCAGATGTTTCAAAACCCGGGGACTGAGTCTAGTTAGGTTTCAGTCCAACCATAGAAAATCTTAATGAGTGTCGTGTCCATCTATGATGGCTTAAAAAGATGTCCATAAATTCTTTACTACTCTTTGCTTCAGAAAGTAGAGCCTGACCCTCTTCCCATGAGCATGGGCTGCACTGAGCAACTCAAAATGACCAAGATGTGGCAGAAGCGATGGAGGGCAGCTTCTGAGACGGGCATTGTGGGTGGCTCTTTGCTGTCTGTTGATCTGTTTATCTCAGCTGCCATGTTGAGAGTACATTCAGGCAGCCCTACAGAGCCCCCCGGGGGTTCATGTGAGCAGACCGCCTTGGAAGTAGAGTCTGCATCCCCGATCGAGCCTTCAGATGACTGCAGCCTCAGCCAGCATTTTGACTGCATGTTTCAAAAATGTGTTAAGATTCTTTGACAAACTTAAATGTAGAGTACTCTGCCATACTATCAGTACTCGTACTTGTTGAGGAACGAGTGTGGCGTGGTCCTTTTTCATCTGATTTCTTGAAGTCTGTTCTAGAAAGCCAACCATGGAAGGACTACAACAGATGAGAACAGGACTGATGGAGTTGCTTTCATGGGAATCATTCCCTGGCGCCCTCTGGAGGCAGAGTTGTTTTGGGTCAGGAGTAACTCCATCTCCATCAGATGCAGGGACTGACTCACTTTGAAAGGAAGAGACCATACAGCAGTGTCCCAGCTGTCCCTTCAGGGGAAATTCCCTATGAGAGATGCCTGGAGCAGAGCCAGAGTCCTCAGGACAGAATCGGAAAGGTATCTGCAGACTGGCACTCCCTCCATCATGGGCTGCTTTGCCCATAAATCGCATTCCCATCTTTTTCTGGTGACCAAACATTTGTTGATGGGCTCCAACACTGCCGATGTTTGTTCCAGATTTTCTTTCTGCCAGTTCTCAAACTGCATCAGAATCCCCTGAAGGGCTTATTAAAACACACGGTGCGGTGCTAGAGGTTAAAACACAGATGACTGGGCTCCACCCCAGAATTTCTGCTGCAGCAGGGTTGAGGCAGAGCCTGAGAATTTGCATTTCTTTTTTCTTTTTTTTATTTAATTAGTTTGAGATAGGGTCTCACTCTGTCATCTAGGCTGGAGTGCAGTGGCGCTATCATACCTCACTGTAGCCTTGACCTCCCGGGCTTGAGTGATCCTCCCACCCTGACCGCCCAAGTAGCTGGGACCACAGGTATGCACCACCACACCTGGCTAATTATTTTAAATTTTGTGTAGAGATAGGGTCTCACTATGTTGCCCAGGCTGGTCTTAAAGTCCTGGCCTCAAGTAATCCCACCACCATGGCGTCCCAAAGGGCAGGTATTACAGGTGTGAGCCGCCATGGCTGGCCCCTGAGAATATGCTTCCTAACCAGTTCCCAGAGGATGCTGATGCTGCTGGTCTTAAGAGCACACTTGGAGAACATCTTAACTAGTTCATCTTCACACTTCACTTAGAGGTGTTCAGTGGTAACATGTAACGGTGTATGTTAGTATATAGATTAGTCTTTTTCAGATTTCCTACAGAAAATCTACTCAGTTTAAATCAAAGAGCACTCCCCAACTTTTAGCACTCCTGCTTGGCATAAATTGGTTCTACATCCTTAACTTTAAGGTTTCTGGTCAGGAGCACACAAAATTAAAAATTACCTCTTCTGCTATGAAAATTTTATTGCTGCAACTCATGCGTGCATACAGGCACACACACACACCATGATGTTAAATTAAGGAGCTTGAATTAAAAGCAAATTTCCCTTATGTAGAAAGTCATCTGTTGATCATTTGGCTTAATTAAAATTGGGAGTATCATATATTTACCATGATTCACTCCCATACTGCCTCCGCTAAAAATGATGCCACTTTGTCTCTAAGTTGAACCTGGCTTAGAGTAAACTCTGTGAGACTGCCCTTCATGTTTTCCTAAAGGCACAAACTTCTAGTACAGAATATACATCTTTACAGAATATTAATCATCTATAGGCTGAGGCCTAATCTGAGACTAACCTTCTGGTTTCTTCCTGGAGTTTCATCCAGGAGCATGCCCTGGGCCTCACATGGCGATGAGATGGGGCTTTCCCCCTCAAAGGTTTGTTCTTATTTGGTCTATTTGGGACAGAGGTATGCATAAATACAAACTATGCTTACAATTGTTCCTTTCATTCTTTTCTGTTAACAGCTGTGGCTGGTGGGTGAGCCTAGCTGCCTTGCACAATTCGAGTCTTCTCAGGCACTCATTCCCCTGAGTTGTCATTGGTATAAATGGAATGATTCCTTGTTTTGCAAGGGTTGCACACTTCTTATCAAACATATTTGGGCTTTTGCGAACTCTGTAATAGACAATGGCCTAGGCCTTTGTTAACTGTCTCAGGTCCTGCTGGGAGGTCGCAGAGCGGGGTCGAACTGCTGGACCCTCAGAGCAGGAAGTTCCTGGGCTTTGAGAAAAGCAGAGAGCTGGTCTGGGAATTCCATGAAAAATTTCAGATGTTAGGCTATGGTCCTGCCACTGGCCAGGCATGAACCTGATGCTACCTACCAAGCCAGTGGGTAGAGGATTTACCCTGTTTGGGGTCAGTGAGGCTTCTTAACAGCGGGATAGCCTTTGAGCTGAGCTTTAAGGGAACAGTTGATCATGAGGAGACACAGGATGACCCCAAGAACACCATGAACAGGAGTGACATTGGGACTGGGGGTGGGAAATCCTTTAGTCTGATGGATTGGAACCACAGGCAGGGGCCAGTTGGGTACGTGAATTTTACTCTCGGGCCCTTGAGGGGAGACCAGACTCCCTTCTCCGCTCCACCAGCCACACTGCCTCTTTAGTGCCACAGAACAGGACCTTCTTCCCTTTCTTCACCGAGGTGCCAATTTCCCGAGCAGTCTGTACCAGCCCTGCCTCGGAGAGCACAGGCTCAGCTCCACATTGTCCAGCGGGCTCTCCTGCCCCCCAGTGCATACCTGTGTGTGCACACACATTCATACATTCATACACACGCACTCACACGCTACACATACTCTCACACACCCTCAGTACTCACATACTCCCTCTCATATCTGCACACGCTCACACACTTAGAGCTCTGGTACCTCTTGCTCCTCTCTCATGCAACTCTGTTTTTTGTTGTTGTTGTTTTCTTTTTTTTTTTTTTCCCATAGAACTTACTGCCCTGTGCAGCCATCTGTCCACCTCTCTTTATCTGCTCCCCACACTGGATTGTCACAGAGCATATGTCCTGCATGCACACACATGTATCCAGGGTACCGCCTGCCTGGCATGTGTTAGTAACTAATTGTTATTCATTTAATGAATTGATCAAAACTTGATATTTTTGTACAAAGAATGTTTATCATTTAGTATCTTCTTTCCTGCATGTTTTTCACCAAATGAGATTAAAGACCTCTCTCTCTCTGTCTCTCTCTCTATATATATATATACACACACATTTTTTTTTGTTTGTTTTTGAGATGGAGTTTCGCTGTTGTCGCCCAGACCAGAGTGCAGTGGTGTGATCTCAGCTCACTGCAACTTTCACCTCCCGGGTTCAAGCGATTCTCCTGACTCAGCCTCCCAAGTAGCTGGGATTACAGGCACGTACCACCATGCCTGGCTAATTTTGTATTTTTAGTATAGATGAGGTTTCACCATGTTGACCAGGCTGGTCTCAAAGTCCTGACCACAGGTGATCCACCTGCCTCAGCTGCCCAAATTGCTGAGATTACAGGCGTGAGCCACTTCACCTGGCCAATAAAAGATGCATTTTGATTAAAATAATGACATGTTTCTAAAATATGCTGAAATGTAAGGCACTGACATCACAGAATTTAAATATTTTTCAATAAAATCTATAATCAAACCATAGTTCAGCTTCCTCTGGGATATTGTGAACTAAGTTTAAAATGCATCTGGAATTTTCCACTGCTGTTCATATTTTCAAATGCTTAGAATTAGAAAAATTAGCCAGGCGTGGTGGCACATCGGGAGGCCGAGGCAGGAGAATCTGCTTGAACCCGGGAGGCAGAGGTTGCAGTGAGCCAAGATCGCACCACTGCATTGCAGCCTGGGCAATAAGAGCGAAACTCCATCTCAAAAAAAAAAAAGAATTAGAAAAATTTTGACGTCTTAATTTCTAATAGTGTTAGATATCAGAAATAGTAAAATTTCTAGCCACTGCCTGCATACAAACCACTCTTAATAAATTCCCAATTTATCAAAAAATAGTTTGGGAAATGAAAAACAGCAAATTTCTTCAGCAGTCAGGGCAACACTGTATATTCCATAATGAGTTTGCACTTTTCAAATAACTAAAACGCATTTAGCACTGAAACTGGGCTAAGCAGAATTTATTTTTTCTTTGGTTCAGAATTTCAGAATCATGGACTGCCTCCAGGTCTTTCTGAACATCAGATGCCATTCTAGATATAAAACAGAGACCTGGCCGGGCGTGGTGGCTCATGCGTGTAATCCCAGCACTTTGGAATGCTTAGGCGGGGAGGTGGGGCAATCACCTGAGGTCAGGAGTTCAAGACCAGCCTGGCCAACATGGCGAAACCCCGTCTCTACTAAAAATACAAATATTAGCTGGGCGTGGTGGCGGGCGCCTGTAATCCCAGCTACTCCAGGAGAATGGCTTGAACCTGGGAGGCGGAGGTTGCAGTGAGCCAAGATTGTGCCACTACACTCCAGCCTGGGCAAAAGAGTGAAACTCCGTCTCAAAACAAACAAAAAACCAGAGACCCAGCGTTTGAGCAATGGGTGGTTTGGATTTAGACACACAGGAGATGTGGATGGATTTAGACACAGCTCCCAGCTGTGGGCCTGGCTGTAACTGTGTTCTGTTTCCTCCCCAGCCCAGCGACTTCTCCGTGTCCCTTAAAGCGTCAGGGAAGAACAAACACTTCAAGGTGCAGCTCGTGGACAATGTCTACTGCATTGGGCAGCGGCGCTTCCACACCATGGACGAGCTGGTGGAGCACTACAAAAAGGCGCCCATCTTCACCAGCGAGCACGGGGAGAAGCTCTACCTCGTCAGGGCTCTGCAGTGACGGCGTCCCGGCCCCACACTCGCCTCCCGGGCCCCACGGTGGAGCTGCCCGCCCGGCCTTGTGGCAGAGGCTCCTCCCGTGGGGGCGGCGGCCCCGACGGCTTCTCCGCGAGTCTCTTCTTTATGTTCAGGTCGCTTGGTCGGTTTGTCTCCCATTCGCCATCCAGGCCTAACACCCACACTCGAACCCACCCGGCCGGCCAGCTTTAGAGGAGGGGGGGAGAGAGGGGCGAGTTCACATTATTCCTTTTCCATCGGAAACGGCGCTCGTGCATTCAACTCGTTCCCGCTCATGGAACCCCTCTTTAAAAAGACGCAGGGCACCTGTGAGCGCAGGAGCGAGCCTCAGGCCACCCAGCGGCAGCACCCGCGTCCTGGGCACTCTGCGTGCTGGGCAGAGCAGGTGGGCCCCAGTCCTAGCAGCCCTCGCCCGTGTCCTGTGCCCTTACATGGCTCCCGGACTCTGCAGGGAGCCGACACGTTTGCTGATAGCAATACTGGAACCACCAGGTGCGATGGCAGTGAGGAAACTGCCCAGTGCCTTTGGGGCTGTGCTTGCAATAAAGAATTTCCTGGAAAGGCAGTCTGCAAAAGAGGGAACCGGTGACGCAGAAAGACAGATGTTTTGGTAATTTACCCCAAATGTGCCATCCACATAGTGCTTTTTCCTCTTGCCCTTCGGCTTGTTTGAATCTCACAATTATGTATTTAATTCTCAAAGAAATATGTATCTGTAGCCGTTTGTTGACACTAATACAGATGATTAAGGAAAACAGCTGGTCTTTGGGGAAGGGAGCTACCAACACTTTATACACACACACACGTGCGCGCACACACACACACACTATATATATATATATTATTTACAGGGAAATTTTTCAGGGTTTACAAAAGAGTATGTGATTGGTAGTAAGAGACACAGAATGTTTATGAAGAAATTGCATTTTCTTTTTCCTTTACATTTGAACTTCTTTATAGTTTAAATATACCGTCTTGAGATGGCACATTCCTACGATTGAAGAAGGGGTCTTGAGATCCCCTAAACTTGCATACCCAGTTTTTTGGATATTGTAATAAAAAAAAAAGTATTATGACAAGGCTCTGTGTGTATTTATCTTCAGGAAAACTCCGACTCAATTGTGGGAGAGTAATTACTGAAGCTTTCACTCATTGCAGAGTGGGAATCATTTTTAAAGAAGAGCTTAACATTTATTACTTGTGTGTTTTCATTTTCTACCCCCACATTTTTGTATATTGAAATAATGAGTTTTAATTAGTGAAACTCCACGGGAACCCAGAATCTGAAGCTTGCTCTGAACTTTGCTCTTTGGAAAGCATTTGTTTAGAAATATGTTGCTGCACTCTTGGCAGCCAGCGCTCTCACAGCGTGTGTCCCCCATGGCTGACTCTCAATTTGTCCTCTCGATCAGGAGCATTTATATTGCTGCGCCAGGCCTTGGGGCTGCAGAGTCACATGACTTGGCATTTGTGCCCTCCTAGGTCAATCACGTATCAAGCGCTCCCTCTGTGCCATGCGCTGCGCTCCCATTTGTTCCTCATCAAAGCTCCATGAGGCTCATCCCCATTTTATAGATGGGGAAAGTGAGGCCCACAGGCAGTGCACCCAACACATGGCTGCTGTGTGGTGGAGCCAGAATACACAGCTAAGGATCTGCACCAGCGCTGGACCCTTCCAACCCCAGCCTAGGGAGGCGTTCGGGAGAAGTGACGTGTTGCACACTTACTCTGCCATGAGAGTTACCTGTGAGGAAAGTCTATCTTTTGGTTGCCTTAGATTATAATAAATTAGAAGTCTGGTGTCTTATACCTGGGGTTGGTGGCACCCAGTTATTGTGAATAGACATTCAGGTGAGGGAGATCATTACATGAGACAGAATACATCCAGGGAAAAACCAGTAGTTCCAGACTCTTTCGGGTCTCGCTAATGAGAATGACATTTTGACCTGATGCTGGAATCCCACTAAATATTGAGTGCCTGGACCGCTGAATGACTTTGATGCACACGTAGCAATTCGGGTATAGCCGAGCAATTAAAGGACCAAAGACAGATGTACATTTTGGCTTCAGGAACTTATTTAAGACTCGTAGGTGACAGTTATTTTCAGTTTTGTCACATGCTGGCTTGTGGGCGTCCTCTGCCTGTGGGAGGTCAAGATTAGTATTTTTGTATTAAGGAACCAGCACCCCAGGATGTCAGATGGACCAGTGGAGGGTGAGTTGATAGTCCCGTGATGAACCACTAGTCAGAGTGGGAGGTCCAGGGAGGGTCCCCATGTGGCTTGAAGTGTGGCCACTGATGCTCTGGCCAGGCGGGTCAGTGCCATCAACCTTCCTGCTTGTCCGGAGATTTCCCGGACAGATAGTTTCTGTTTTGCTATTCTGTTGCCTCTTTGCACAGACAGCAAGGGACAATAAAGGTTAGTCATTCTGTACTCAGGTAACTTTGCTCACTTTTTTGTATCTAAATATGCCTTCTACGTAAAGATCGTGCCATCCTGCTGAATTACAGTACATAACCACCAAGCCCGTCACGTGGTTTATGGCCCAGTGCCATGAAATGATGTTTCTAGTGAGCTACAACTGGCCATCTTTTTTCCCAAACTGCATCAAAAATTAAAATCTTGCAGTCTTTATAATGGCTGAAACCAATGTTTCCAAATCATTTTCAGTGCTAGTTCAGCTGTGTCTCGGTTTCTATGTGCTAACTGGTTTGCAATCAACTTTTCTACCATTCCTACCGCTCAACACCAGAATACCAAAGTAATTTCTTAAGACCAAAGTTCAGAACGGAAAGGATAGAAGAGTTTGAAAGTATTATTTAAATCTTACATTTCAATAAACATGAGTCTGGTCTTGGCCTTTTCTTACTGGAATGCAGCACTGTGTATTGTTGGTATCTGATTGTGTCGTTGATGTGGTTATTTGGGTTCTAACATCCTGCCACATGCTGGCTGCTCTCCTGAGGAGCAGCATTGCAGGCTTTGGGTACCTGTTTAAGCCACGCATGATGGCAGTGCCCAGCTGTCCTTACCAGCCCTGGGACTTCAAGCAAATTACTCAGCATCTCTGCTCTGAATGTGTTTGCCCCCGAGTCAAATGGGGCTGCCCTGGTGAGGGTGCTTGTGCCAGTGCTACCTAATAGTGATGGGCGCCCGCGGGGGTGGCCTGTGTGTGTCAAGAGATCTGCTCAACGTTTTTCTCACTTGGAACTAACTCATTGGTGCCCTGTTAGCCAGGGGCTTCCTCAGGGCCCCCCTGAAGAGCCAACTGCCTCAAACCCTCACTGTGATCCTTCCCTAGCAGTCTTAGGGCCAATGCACCCCTGCTTCTTAAAGCTTAGACTCCTCGAGTGTTGAAGAGGAGTTGGTTCACCAAACTGTTCAGCTGTCTTTCATTAGAAGCCCAAACCAAAAGCTGCACTCAGCCACACTCAGCACTGGCCTTCTTACCTGCAGTGGTTGGCGAAATCACATCCCTAAAAATGATCCTCTTTGGGGTAGGAAACATCTTTGTTTTCTCCTTAGGGGTTGGGAGTTGGGTGGGACGGTGGGAAAAAAGAAGTTCACTAAGCCAACCGGTATTCCACGAATGCTGGGATGTTCCCTGCAGGCTTCAAGTAGGTAAGAGTAGAATCCAAAATCAGGTCTAAACCACCTCATTGGAACCTATCGCTGGAACATTCTCAGCCCAAGTCTGACACAGTGGCTATTGAGCATTGGCCAAAAGTTCAATAAGCCAACCAGTGTCCAGAAAACCTGTGTTGCCCCACAACCCCCAGCAGATGGCATTCCCACTGCTGAGGAAGCTGGCCATTGCTGAGTGCAGCCCACTTGGACCTCCAGCCAATAGGAAATGTGCTCCTTCTTGTGCTGTTCCTCAGACTCCAGTTTGCGGGGCAACAGGGTAGTCATCTATGTGTGTGTGTTTTTAACTTGTAAGTTCAGGGGCACATGTGCAGGTTTGTTACGTAGGTAAACTTGTGTCACAGGGCTTTGTTGTACAAACTGTTTTGTCACCCAGGTACTAAGCCTAAGCCTAGTACCCGTTAGTTATTTTTTCTAATCCCCTTCCGCCTCCCACCCTCCACCTTCCAGTAGGCCCCAGTGTGTGTGGTTCCCTCTGCGTCCATGTATTCTCATCATTTAGCTCCCACTTGCAAGTGAGAACATGCTGTCTATGGATTTCTGTTCCTACATTAGTTTACTAAGGATAATTGCCTCCGGCTCCATCCATGTCCCTGCAAAGGACATGATCTTGTTCTTATGGCTGCAGAGTATTCCATGGTGTATATGTATCACATTTTCTTTTTCCAGTCTACAATTGATGGGCACTTAGGTTGATTCCATGTCTTTGCTATTGTGAATAATGCTGCAATGAGCATATGTGTGCATGTATCTTTATGATACAACAATTTATATTCCTTTGGATATTTACCTGCTAATAAGATTGCTGGGTCAAATGATAGTTCTGTTTTTAGGTCTTTGAGGAATCACCAGACTGCTTTTTACAATGATTGAACTAATTTACATTCCCACTAACAGTGTAAAAGTATTCCTTTTTCTCCGTGACCTCGCCAGCATCTGTTCTTTTTTGACTTTTTAATAGTAGCCATTCTGACTGGTGGGGGATGGTATCTCATCGTGGTTTTGGTTTGCATTTCTCTAATGATCAGTGATGTTGAGCTTTTTTTCATGTTTCTTGGCCACATGTATGTCTTATTTTGAAAAGTATCTGTTCATGTCTTTTGCCCACTTTACAATGAGGTGGGTTTTTTTCTTGTAAATTTGTTTAAGTTCCTTATAGATACTGAATATTCAGTATACCTTTGTCAGATGCAGAATTTGAGAAAATGTTCTCCCATTCTGTAGGTTGTCTGTTTACTCTGTGGATAGTTTCTTTTGCTGTGCAGAAGCTCTTTAGTTTACTTAGATCACATTTGTCAACTTTTGCTTCAGTTGCAATTGCTTTTGGTGTCTTTGTCATGAAATCCTTGCCTGTTCCTATGTCCAGAGTGGTATTGCCTAGGTTGTCTTGCAGAGTTTTTATGATTTTGGGTTTCACATGTCTTTAGTCCATCTTAAATTGATTTTTGTATACGGTGTAAGGAAGGGGCCCAGTTTCAATCTTCTTCACTGGTAACCGGTTATCCCAGCATCATTTATTGAATAAGGAGTCCTTTCCCCATTGCTTGCCGTTTGTCAGCTTTGTCAAAAATCAGATGGTTGCATGTGCCTTATTCCTGGGCTCTCTATTATGTTCCTCCATTGGTCTATATGTCTGTTTTTATACCAGCATCATGCTGTTTTGGTTACTGTAGCCCTATAGTATAGTTTGAAGTCAGGTAGCATGATGCCTCTAGCTTTCTTCTTTTTGCTTAGGATTGCCTTGGCTATTTCCGCTCTTTTTTGGTTCCATATGAATTTAAAATTTTTTTTTCTAGTTCTGTAAAGAATGTCAATGGTAGTTTAATAGGAATAACATTGAATCTACAAATTGCTTTGGGCAGTATGGCCATTTTAACAATATTGATTCTTCCTATCCAGGAGGATGAATTTTTTTTTTCCATTTGTTTGTGTCATTTCTTTGAGCAGTGTTTTGTAGTTTTTATTGTAGAGCTCTTTCACCTCCCTGGTTAGCTGTATTCCTGGGTATTTTATTCTTTTTGTGGCAATTGTGAATGGGATTCTGTTCCTGATTTGGCTCTTGGCTTGACTATTGTTGGTGTATAAGAATGCTAGTGATTTTTGTATGTTGATTTTATAGAAGTTGTGTATAAGCTGAAGGAACTTTGCAGAAGTTGTTTATCAGCTGAAGGAGCTTTTGGACTGAGCCTCTGGGTTTTTCTAGATATGGGGTCATGTCATCTGCAAATAGGGATAGTTTGACTTCTCTCTTCCTATTTAGATGCCCTTTATTTCCTTCTCTTGCCTGACTGCTCTGACCAGAACTTTCAATACTATGTTAAATAGGAGAGAGGGCATCCTTGTCTTGTGCTAGTTTCCAAGGGCAATGCTTCTAGCTTTTGCCCATTCAATATGATATTGGCTGTCGGTTTGTCATAGGTCATTTATTTTGAG